TTTTTAGTGTGTCATACCGAGAGCTTATACGTCTTATCTCGAGAGATGTTGGAATGTTCGGATGTTGGAATGTTCGGATGTTGAAATGTTGAAATGTTGGAATGTTGAAATGTTGAAATGTTGAAATGTTGGGATGTTGGAATGTTCGGATGTTGGAATGTTCGGATGTTGGAATGTTGAAATGTTGAAATGTTGGAATGTTGAAATGTTGAAATGTTGGGATGTTGGAATGTTCGGATGTTGAAATGTTGGAATGTTGGAATGTTGGGATGTTGGAATGTTGAAATGTTGAAATGTTGGAATGTTCGGATGTTGAAATGTTGGGATGTTGAAATGTTGAAATGTTGGGATGTCGGAATGTTCATTTGTTGGAATGTTGAAATGTTGAAATGTTCGGATGTTGGAATGTTGAAATGTTGAAATGTTGGAATGTTCGGATGTTGGAATGTTGAAATGTTGAAATGTTGGAATGTTGGGATGTTGGAATGTTGAAATGTTGAAATGTAAGAATCTTGGAATGTTCGGATGTTGAAATGTTGGGATGTTGAAATGTTGAAATGTTGAAATGTTGAAATGTTGGAATGTTGGAATGTTCGGATGTTGGAATGTTCGGATGTTGGAATGTTGAAATGTTGAAATGTTGGAATGTTGGAATGTCCGGATGTTGAAATGTTGGGATGTTGAAATGTTGAAATGTTGGGATGTTGGAATGTTGAAATGTTGAAATGTTGGAATGTTGGGATGTTGGAATGTTGAAATGTTGAAATGTTGAAATGTTGGAATGTTCGGATGTTGAAATGTTGGGATGTTGACATGTTGAAATGTTGGGATGTCGGAATGTTCGGATGTTGGCATGTTGAAATGTTGAAATGTTCGGATGTTGGAATGTTGAAATGTTGAAATGTTGGAATGTTCGGATGTTCGGATGTTGGAATGTTGAAATGTTGAAATGTTGGAATGTTGGGATGTTGGAATGTTGAAATGTTGAAATGTAAGAATGTTGGAATGTTCGGATGTTGAAATGTTGGGATGTTGAAATGTTGAAATGTTGAAATGTTGAAATGTTGGAATGTTGGAATGTTCGGATGTTGGAATGTTCGGATGTTGGAATGTTGAAATGTTGAAATGTTGGAATGTTGGAATGTTCGGATGTTGAAATGTTGGGATGTTGAAATGTTGAAATGTTGAAATGTTGGGATGTTGGAATGTTGAAATGTTGGAATGTTGGAATGTTCGGATGTTGAAATGTTGGGATGTTGAAATGTTGAAATGTTGAAATGCTGGAATGTTGGAATGTTGAAATGTTGAAATGTTGGAATGTTGGAATGTTCGGATGTTGAAATGTTGGGATGTTGAAATGTTGGGATGTTGAAATGTTGAAATGTTGGAATGTTAAAATGTTGGAATGTTAAAATGTTGGAATTTTGAAATGTTTTTATGTTGAAATGTTGGGATGTTGAAATGTTGGGATGTTGAAATGTTGGGATGTTGAAATGTTGGGATGTTGAAATGTTGAAATTTTGGGATGTTGAAATGTTGGAATGTTGGGATGTTGGGATGTTGAAATGTTGAAATTTTGGGATGTTGAAATGTTGGGATGTTGAAATGTTGGGATGTTGAAATGTTGGAATGTTGGGATGTTGAAATGTTGAAATGTTGGAATGTTCGGATGTTGAAAAGGTGGAATGTTGGGATGTTGAAATGTTGGGATGTTGAAATATTGGGATGTTGAAATGTCGATATCTTGAAATGTTGATATATTGGAATGTTGAAATGTGCAATGTAGATAACTCGGTCTACTTGGTCGAAAGGGAAACTACACTAAACCCAGAGAAAAAAAATTAAAATTGTGTTACTTCCCCTTAGTAATGTTACATGTCCACATTTTTCTACAACAAATTCGTCTGTCAATACGTAGACTGTGAGAACTTTGCATCTGTAAAACTCGTTTGTGTGAAATTTGTCTACCAACTTCATTAGACACAACGGAGCTGGCAAATGACACGCACATTTGCGCACATCTTCATATTGACAACCACACAACCTCTGACGACCGACCAGACAACCTCTGACGACCAACCACACAACCTCTGACGACCAACCTCACAATCTCTGACGACCAACCACACAACCTCTGACGACCAACCACACAACCTCTGACGACCAACCACACAACCTCTGACGACCAACCACACAACCTCTGACGACCAACCACACAACCTCTGACGACCAACCACACAACCTCTGACGACCAACCACACAACCTCTGACGACCAACCACACAACCTCTGACGACCAACCACACAATCTCTGACGACCAACCACACAACCTCTGACGACCAACCACACAAACTCTGACGACCAACCACACAACCTCTGACGACCAACCACACAACCTCTGACGACCAACCACACAACCTCTGACGACCAACCACACAACCTCTGACGACCAACCACACAACCTCTGACGACCAACCACACAACCTCTGACGACCAACCACACAACCTGTGATGGTCAACCTGCAGTGGCGTCTAAAGAGATAAACATGTGTGGAATGTGTTAGTCGAAGGGTCAATAGTTACCCACGGAATGTATACAACTTGTACCGAACCGATTTCTTTCAAACTTGACACGTTAATCAAGATCGGAACACTCGGCTATTTGATATGAGTGTCGATTAATTTATAATTGAAATCAATTTATATTTAAACCATTAATAACTGTCATATGAAGGACATGTTTATATGTAGGGTGTAATATATTAAACAACTTTTAGAACGGTAAAAAGCATGATTGATTCTAACCACGTTTAGCATTTCTAGTATAAAATTAGAGTACCTGTACTAATACATGAATAAATGTTACTACTTTCAACGTAGTGCACACTTAAAACAGTCTGTGGAAACTATTAAACAACTATTCCACAATGGCTTAAAATGTTAAAACGCTTTTTATTGCTGCTGATTACAATCTGAACGTCATGGGCGGAGCCACTGTCATTAAACTGGTTATTACTGCTTCTTCAACCAGTACAATTTGTTCTGCATTTTTTGTTCACTGTGTGTGAGAAGGCAGCGCACATCTCGAAATCCAAGACTTCGAGCTATGGTGTCCGTTAGATTCCTGTTTGTTTCCTCTAGCTTGTTTCATTATTCCATCAACCAGTCAACGAAATACCTAGGTCGTTATTCCAATGTGTACAATAAATGTTTCTTATAAGTTTCTATTGTATGTCACTTGTATGAGCTAATTCTAATAAAGTTATATTCCAACGATGTACCACATCAGAGACTGTTTAAAAGATCGAACAATCAAAGACTGGCCTGCTACAAACTTCCCTCTATACGCAGCGGAGCCATATTTTTTCTGACTTTACTAATCTTTTTTAAAGGGATCACGCATCTTAAAGGGATTGGCGTCGATTAAAATTTTAGGGAAAGGAAATCATACACTGTAATCATTATATCTTTTCCAGACTGTCGCACTGTTTGGAGAGGGGGGGGGGGGTGCCATATTGAACATTTGCCCCGGGCGCCGGGAGGGGTCGCTGTTCCACTGTCTACATGGTGGTTTCTAATGTGTATATTTTTGCTACTTAACAATTTGAAATTCATAGGTAGTTTTATAAAAGGAGTTCTAATGGATGATAACGGATTATATTTAGAAAATGTCTGGCGTCCTGATGAATGTTTTAAATTTCCAGCAAGTGGACAATAAATGTTGAAGTTTCAGTATTCATGTTCACAGTGGTGAAACGTTTCAGTATTCATGTTCACAGTGGTGGAAAGTTTCAGTATTCATGTTCACAGTGGTGGAAAGTTTCAGTATTCATGTTCACAGTGGTGGAACGTTTCAGTATTCATGTTCACAGTGGTGGAAAGTTTCAGTATTCATGTTGACAGTGGTGGAAAGTTTCAGTATTCATGTTCACAGTGGTGGAACGTTTCAGTATTCATGTTGACAGTGGTGGAAAGTTTCAGTATTCATGTTCACAGTGGTGGAAAGTTTCAGTATTCATGTTCACAGTGGTGGAAAGTTTCAGTATTCATGTTCACAGTGGTGGAAAGTTTCAGTATTCATGTTCACAGTGGTGGAAAGTTTCAGTATTCATGTTCACAGTGGTGGAAAGTTTCAGTATTCATGTTCACAGTGGTGGAAAGTTTCAGTATTCATGTTCACAGTGGTGGAACTGGTTAATTTACTTCAATGATAAGCATTGTTGATTTTTTTTTTAGTTTGAATCATACTGGTGTAGGTAGTCAGCCTTTGTGTAAGCACTTTATAAAGGAAATTTTTTTATAACATTTTAAAAGTTAAGTAATCATCTAATTAAATCACATTTATTGTCACAGTGCATTGTTATCGAGTTTTGAGCCACGTGAGAATTTCGAAACAAATCGATCCCGTAGAAGTGATTTTCTTAGAGAAATAGAAAGTACTGAAAAAAAAACTATTTCCGTTCTCAGCAAATCCCCAAGATAGTGTAAGATTCAAGAGAATAAGCTCTTTTACCGATGCATAAACTCTCGTAACTTAACAGAAACGGTACTTGTGTTACCTGTATTTTAGAAACCGAAAATAAATTAATTAAAGTACCATTTCCGCATTTAGGAAGTCACCTAAGAAAGTAATCCAAGTATAAGATCTTATACTTATATATGAATTTTCGTCTTCGTAACTAAACCACGTTGTCCTGCTCACACGAAAATAGAGTAAAATTCCACTTCCAGTCACCGGAAATCGCTCACAAGTTCAGGTCGAATTTGAATATATGAATAACAGATCTAACATTTTTTTTTTCATTAAACTTTTGGCCGATTTTTGATAATCTGAACTATTTCATTATTTCTAAAAAAAAAAATCTTAGGAATTTGATAATTTGATATCATATTCTCATAAAGGAAGATATTCCGAATTTGGACTTTGTGTTTCCTCTATCACGATTATACTGGAGCTTCCATCCCTCCCAACACTTGCTGCTATGTACGAATATACTTAGTTACCGGTAGCTCTCTCTGGAGTTTTAAATTATTTTTCAACGTAAATATACAAGCACACGAATTCCCAAACGTTTCCTGAACGGCGACGCCATTTTAATAAAAGCCAAATGACCCCCCCCCCCTCGTGTAATAAAATTGTTTGTTTTTTGTCGTGTACAAATCCACGACCCCTCGGAAGACACTTCGGTCGCGACCCCTTCAGTCGCGACCCCTGATTGTGGACCCGGGCTGTAGAATGTTGGACCCCTGATTGTGGACCCGGGCTGTAGAATGTTGGACCCCTGATTGTGGACCCGGGCTGTAGAATGTTGGACCCCTGATTGTGGACCCGGGCTGTAGAATGTTGGACCCCTGATTGTGGACCCGGGCTGTAGAATGTTGGACCCCTGATTGTGGACCCGGGCTGTAGAATGTTGGACCCCTGATTGTGGACCCGGGCTGTAGAATGTTGGACCCCTGATTGTGGACCCGGGCTGTAGAATGTTGGACCCCTGATTGTGGACCCGGGCTGTAGAATGTTGGACCCCTGATTGTGGACCCGGGCTGTAGAATGTTGGACCCCTGATTGTGGACCCGGGCTTTAGAATGTTGGACCCCTGATTGTGGACCCGGGCTGTAGAATGTTGGACCCCTGATTGTGGACCCGGGCTGTAGAATGTTGGACCCCTGATTGTGGACCCGGGCTGTAGAATGTTGGACCCCTGATTGTGGACCTGGGCTGTAGAATGTTGGACCCCTGATTGTGGACCCGGGCTGTAGAATGTTGGACCCCTGATTGTGGACCCGGGCTGTAGAATGTTGGACCCCTGATTGTGGACCCGGGCTGTAGAATGTTGGACCCCTGATTGTGGACCCGGGCTGTAGAATGTTGGACCCCTGATTGTGGACCCGGGCTGTAGAATGTTGGACCCCTGATTGTGGACCCGGGGTGTAGAATGTTGGACCCCTGATTGTGGACCCGGGCTGTAGAATGTTGGACCCCTGATTGTGGACCCGGGCTGTAGAATGTTGGACCCCTGATTGTGGACCCGGGCTGTAGAATGTTGGACCCCTGATTGTGGACCCGGGGTGTAGAATGTTGGACCCCTGATTGTGGACCCGGGGTGTAGAATGTTGGACCCCTGATTGTGGACCCGGGCTGTAGAATGTTGGACCCCTGATTGTGGACCCGGGCTGTAGAATGTTGGACCCCTGATTGTGGACCCGGGCTGTAGAATGATGGACCCCTGATTGTGGACCCGGGCTGTAGAATGTTGGACCCCTGATTGTGGACCCGGGCTGTAGAATGTTGGACCCATTGATTGGAGGGAGGGGCTAACCAGTTAGATTGTGGCCACTTGCTTAATGTTATCCATGAAATGTGTGAGCAGTGAGTTCAAAGGTCCGTTGTCAACTAGTGATAAACGTGAGTGGATCAAATCCAGCCCGCCTGCTTGATGTGAGCACATACTTGTGTTCTCAACTTTTTTATTATCTCACAAATACCGACAACAAAACAAATACCGACGACAAAACAAATACCACGAACATTAAAAAAAAAAAAAAAAAACTACGAACAAAAAAACACCACTTCAACAAACACTACTCAGATTTTGTTCAAGTTTTATTTTGTCTGAAGCAAATTTCTAAAGTCTAACGCTTGGAACTTTGAACTTCCAATTAACCTTTTGGTTTTTTGGTGGTTGCGGCGGCTTTTTTGGTAGTTGTGGTGGCTTTTTTGGTGGTTGTGGTGTGTTTTGGTGCTGCGGTGGTCTGTTTGTGGGTTGTTGCGGATTGTTTGTGGGTTGTTGCGTGTTGTTTGTGAGTTGTTGCGGAATGTTTGTGGGTTGTTGTTTCTACAGCTGGGTACAGGTTGATGGGCGGGTCAAAGGGTGGGTTGAATTGATCAGGGTTGAACGTGAAGTGCAGAAAGCTGTGGAGAACAAATGACAAGTTATCACATTTTGGTCAGGGATAAGGTTATCATTGACATTTTGGTCAGGGATAAGGTTATCATTGACATTTTGGACAGGGATAAGGTTATCATTCACATTTTGGTCAGGGATAAGGTTATCATTCACATTTTGTAAGAAATTAATCATATATTTTTATTAAGGTAATGTGTCACATTTTTATTCAGATAATACATTTTAAAAAATCACCCTCAAAGACATCCAATATACTGAAAAGAAGTATCAGATTATATGTTAACGAAAAACTTAATCACCTAAACTAATTATGAACTTCGTAGGGAGAGGAAGGGGAGTGGGCTGAGGGGGAGGGGGACGTTTACATTTTTAGGAGAAAAAAAAAGCAAAATTCAAGACTTGTAAGTTTTGAACTAATTCATTAAAACTATACTTTTATAGGTCAGTTTTGATCTGATTTGTTAATAATATATTTAATTAATCAGTTCTAAAATGATTTTTTGAAAATGTAATTTGAGTAGTTTTTCTACTAAGCCTTTCTTGTTTTTAAGTGTACAATAGTTTTGAGGGAGAAAAAGCAAACATTCTCTAGAGCTAGACAAACGTACTCTGTGAACTCTTGTCGCTCAACTTTGCCGTTGTTATCTGTGTCCATCTTACGATGCATGTGCTCATAATCTTTGAGCCTCAGAATATTGTCTCCATCAAAGTCGTAGCTTGTCCACAGAGGTAGCAGGCTCGCCTCGACGATGGAGAAAAATTCTTCCTTAGTCACTCTGCCGTCAGTGTTCACATCGTGTAGCTAAACAAATTAGTGGCAAATTCAATCGATATCAAGAGCAAAACTGTCAAACAGCTACTCAATCACATACACGCTCAACTGTTTTTAAATATGCGTTTATGTTGAAAGTTTCGATTACTTTTTTTTAAATAAAATTTTCAACTTCTATTCTATAGTTCAAGAAATCGCGCATACAATCTTCAATTTTGTGTTAGTTTTGGGGTTAGATTCAAGAAAACTTTGTGTTAGTTTTGGGGTTAGATTCAAGAAAACTTTGTGTTAGTTTTGGGGTTAGATTCAAGAAAACTTTGTGTTAGTTTTGGGGTTAGATTCAAGAAAACTTTGTGTTAGATTCAAGAAAGCTCAATTTGATTTGGCTCGTTAACAAAGGTGTTTTGCGTTAGGTTTTTGGTTAGACTTTCTACTTCCCCAGGGTTAGCGCATATTGAAATGTATTCGAGTTTCTTTTAATTATCTAGTGTGGTTAATGAAGGAGGTTTTTTTATTACGTATTTTAAGCTGTTACCTAATTTTAACCAATGCATTTTTAAACTTTTAAAGTCAATTCAAGCTTTTTACTTAATGAAAACTGCACTTAATGAAAAAGGTAATTAATGTAAAATATATGTGCTACAAACTATATTTACTAAAAAAAAAGTCTATAATTACTACAATTTATACTTACACTAAACATACTTTTAATTTCTTCCCAGGAAATGTCCGAATCATTGTCCAAATCCGTGAAATAGAACATATCCTCAAAGTCTTGGTCGTCATACAGGTCTACGTGGGGTGAGAACATAGTTGTATTTACAAGTAGTCCGGTTACCTGGCTACCACTGGCTACCACTGATTACCACTGGCTACCACTGATTACCACTGGCTACCACTGGCTACCCTACTACCTCATATCAAATCGTTACTTACCTCAACTACTCCACAGCCATGCCTCACGCCCAATCATAACCCTAACTGGCTCTCACCTAACCTTTGCTCCTGACATAACCCTAACTGGCTCTCACCTAACCTCTTTCCTCCTGACATAACCCTAACTGGCTCTCACCTAACCTTTGCTCCTGACATAACCCTAACTGGCTCTCACCTAACCTTTCCTCCTGACATAACTGGCTCTCACCTAACCTCTCCTCCTGACATAACCCTAACTGGCTCTCACCTAACCTCTTTCCTCCTGACATAACTGGCTCTCACCTAACCTTTCCTCCTGACATAACCCTAACTGGCTCTCACCTAACCTTTCCTCCTGACATAACCCTAACTGGCTCTCACCTAACCTTTCCTCCTGACATAACTGGCTCTCACCTAACCTTTGCTCCTGACATAACTGGCTCTCACCTAACCTTTGCTCCTGACATAACTGGCTCTCACCTAACCTCTTTCCTCCTGACATAACCCTAACTGGCTCTCACCTAACCTTTGCTCCTGACATAACCCTAACTGGCTCTCACCTAACCTTTCCTCCTGACATAACTGGCTCTCACCTAACCTCTCCTCCTGACATAACCCTAACTGGCTCTCACCTAACCTTTCCTCCTGACATAACTGGCTCTCACCTAACCTTTGCTCCTGACATAACTGGCTCTCACCTAACCTTTCCTCCTGACATAACCCTAACTGGCTCTCACCTAACCTTTGCTCCTGACATAACTGGCTCTCACCTAACCTTTGCTCCTGACATAACTGGCTCTCACCTAACCTTTCCTCCTGACATAACCCTAACTGGCTCTCACCTAACCTTTCCTCCTGACATAACCCTAACTGGCTCTCACCTAACCTTTCCTCCTGACATAACTGGCTCTCACCTCACCTTTCCTCCTGACATAACCCTAACTGGCTCTCACCTAACCTTTCCTCCTGACATAACTGGCTCTCACCTAACCTTTCCTCCTGACATAACTGGCTCTCACCTCACCTTTCCTCCTGACATAACCCTAACTGGCTCTCACCTAACCTTTCCTCCTGACATAACTGGCTCTCACCTAACCTTTCCTCCTGACATAACTGGCTCTCACCTAACCTTTCCTCCTGACATAACTGGCTCTCACCTAACCCCTCCTCCTGACATAACTGGCTCTCACCTAACCTTTCCTCCTTACATAACTGGCTCTCACCTAACCTTTCCTCCTGACATAACTGGCTCTCACCTAACCTCTGCTCCTGACATAACTGGCTCTCACCTAACCTTTCCTCCTGACATAACTGGCTCTCACCTAACCTTTGCTCCTGACATAACTGGCTCTCACCTAACCTTTCCTCCTGACATAACCCTAACTGGCTCTCACCTAACCTTTCCTCCTGACATAACCCTAACTGGCTCTCACCTAACCTTTCCTCCTGACATAACCCTAACTGGCTCTCACCTAACCTTTCCTCCTGACATAACCCTAACTGGCTCTCACCTAACCTTTCCTCCTGACATAACCCTAACTGGCTCTCACCTAACCTTTCCTCCTGACATAACCCTAACTGGCTCTCACCTAACCTTTGCTCCTGACATAACTGGCTCTCACCTAACCTTTCCTCCTGACATAACCCTAACTGGCTCTCACCTAACCTCTTTCCTCCTGACATAACTGGCTCTCACCTAACCTTTCCTCCTGACATAACTGGCTCTCACCTAACCTTTCCTCCTGACATAACCCTAACTGGCTCTCAACTTACCTTTGCTCCTGACATAACTGGCTCTCACCTAACCTCTCCTCCTGACATAACCCTAACTGGCTCTCACCTAACCTTTCCTCCTGACATAACCCTAACTGGCTCTCACCTAACCTTTGCTCCTGACATAACTGGCTCTCACCTAACCTCTCCTCCTGACATAACCCTAACTGGCTCTCACCTAACCTCTCCTCCTGACATAACTGGCTCTCACCTAACCTTTCCTCCTGACATAACCCTAACTGGCTCTCACCTAACCTTTCCTCCTGACATAACTGGCTCTCACCTAACCTCTCCTCCTGACATAACCCTAACTGGCTCTCACCTAACCTCTCCTCCTGACATAACTGGCTCTCACCTAACCTTTCCTCCTGACATAACCCTAACTGGCTCTCACCTAACCTTTCCTCCTGACATAACTGGCTCTCACCTAACCTTTCCTCCTGACATAACCCTAACTGGCTCTCACCTAACCTTTCCTCCTGACATAACCCTAACTGGCTCTCACCTAACCTTTCCTCCTGACATAACCCTAACTGGCTCTCACCTAACCTTTCCTCCTGACATAACTGGCTCTCACCTAACCTTTCCTCCTGACATAACTGGCTCTCACCTAACCTTTGCTCCTGACATAACTGGCTCTCACCTAACCTTTCCTCCTGACATAACCCTAACTGGCTCTCACCTAACCTTTCCTCCTGACATAACCCTAACTGGCTCTCACCTAACCTTTCCTCCTGACATAACCCTAACTGGCTCTCACCTAACCTTTCCTCCTGACATAACTGGCTCTCACCTAACCTTTCCTCCTGACATAACTGGCTCTCACCTAACCTTTGCTCCTGACATAACCCTAACTGGCTCTCACCTAACCTTTCCTCCTGACATAACCCTAACTGGCTCTCACCTAACCTTTCCTCCTGACATAACTGGC